TCACTATGAAAATGACTGGGACCGGAACAGCCTGTGACTGTATAGGAGGTGTGACTATATAGGAGGTGACTGTAGGGAAGGTTGACTGTAGTATGATAGCCGACAGCGTCTTGCCGGTCGCAGAAACGTCTTTCTATCACGTTCTGTGTAAACTTTGATGGTCACATAAATTAGATCTACTAGTCATTGGTAAATATGCAAATCACGTTGTTTAAAAAACATCAGCTTTCATAACCTGCCAGTGACATATCGAAATAATAGTGAGGCACGTCTTTATTCCAAGAGTGGATCCACAATTTCGATAAACAAATGACTGATAAGTATGGAGATATTCGTGTTCTTGCTCTTCATAGATATTGTTCAAGCCATAGACTGGAGGGTTTGAATCTTCAACACGTCAACATATATTTTCTCCCACCTAATATGACTGCCAAGTTTCAGACTATTGATGGCGGAATTATAATGGCCTTCAAGAACATTATCGTCGTCATCAAATTCGGTATTGTACAATGAATTTTTGCTAAATTTAAGAGAGTTTAATATCATTTTTAACTATAGCGGGATGTTAGAACAATGCAAGAGATAAACAACAGAAAATGGATATCTTTCAAGCCATCTGATACATTAGTAAATCGTGGGAAGAGATTACGACTAAAACAACCAATCACTGATGGCGGCATATATATTCTTCCTAAAAAACGTTTCCGATGGCATCCATGCGATAAACGATTTGGCTCTTGATGGAATCTGCAGAGCGCTTTTAGAAATCTTAATCTTTCGGAGCCAATGGAAATTGAAGAATTTCTCGGTTTCCGAAGAAAACATTGTTTATGAGATTCCAGATAGTGAGCAAATTGTTACAGAACTTGCTGAGATTTTAAAGATGAGAATAGTAATGATTTAGAGAGCGCAGATAATAGTACTTAAATAACGGTTGTTAGCCGCGAGTACTGCATTAAAAAGTCCGGAAATATACAAACATTCTTATTACAAAAAAATATATATATGAAAGATTGATTAAAGTGAGCATATATTTTAGAAAATTTATATTAGAGGAAGTAGGTTGGTTAAATGCAACAATCGAACTTGGACTAATATTTCATAAATTATAATGCGACGAAAATATAACGCCTGTTATCACGTAAATGTGTTACCACTCTGTCAGTGCACCAGCTTGCTTTGTTCCCTATTGCACGGCATCGTATTCTCAGTCTCGAGGTAGGCATTTAGGGAGTGTCGACTGTAATTAACACAATCCAACGGTGATTCAAATTTTGATTACAATGAGGATATTGGTTACATGATAAAGTGGGATAGTTTATATGAACGAACCGAAACGAAACATCAGGACATGCGCGCAGAATACAGTCAGTGTACATTTATCACTAAACCCAAAGCTCGGAACCTGTGCATTTATATTTAGTGACATGCACCTAGAGACGTTTATCTAAAACTCATTATTTCAATAGAATTTAGTATGTTGGATAATACACTGTTTTTACCAATTTTATAACCATAACACAATTATCACGTTTCGGCATCACCTTACGATGCCGGTTAAATATGTTTGCTTTATTGATAATTTTCTTTATAAATAATAATAGATTATTCTTATCCAATCAACTGCGTGTATCACCGCAATTAGCTCAATGTTTTGTTTAGTCTTCGGATTAATGAGCTCAATTTTCAAAATTTAAGGTATTGTTGTTCAAGATAATTGTATCACTTCATAAGGCGCAATACTAATCTCATACATAATACAATAGCAAAGCAAGAAAAAGCTTATCTAATGTTATAAACTACAATTGTTTGGATGACACGTGTTTGTTCAATATCGGATAAGAGATTTATGTGGAGCAGTCATTTTGTGTCTACCGCATTTTGTAATTTAAATGTTTTCAGACTAGGAAACTCTACCTCATGAAGTAATGCCAAAAATACAACAAGCTTGTATTGGCATCCATTATTTTACGATTCTTCCTGTGAGATTTAACACAAACGTAATCGCCGATGCATGTTGAGTTGCTTATATTTCTTAAGCATAAAGTTTTGATCAAGTTATGTAATTTCCTAAGTAGCTGCTATAAACTTGTGATTTAAGCCAAGGCAAATCAAGAGGTCTGAACAGAATAGAAAACAAATGGAAAACCGTGAGTTTATTTAGAAGAAACGTTGGACCGCTAAACCACAGATATGATACGTGGTAACTGCATGACCATAGAATAACTAAACGTGCGATATAATGTTTGCCAGAATCGAGCATGAGGTTTGTTCTAATACTGATATATATTCCGATACTATTACCAGTTGTAATAGAATATTTGCTGCCGAGCAAAATAGTTATTCTATTTCGCGAAGTATGTCAACATTACGTATAACAATTACGTAGTGAATATGTTCCTCGCCTTTAAAATTGGATGATGTTTTTTGCACCCAATTATTATAAATATCAAAAAAAAAAGTTGTCTTGCTAATGTGTCAGGGGGTTGTTATTCCATAAGGTTAAAGATTATTGGTGCGTCTTACATAAACAAGGTTTGATGAACTTGATAAAGTATCGGATGTCAAAATCCGTACACGGCGGGGCGGGCAGGCATGGCTGTCCGACTTATCGAGAAATCCGAGTTATCGAGGGACCAATAGAATTTATCGTAGCACAATTGCCTTTAACATTATGAGACATATTTGCTTTCGGATTATTCAATGACATAATTTATTTAGATAATTTAACAAACAGATAAAGAACGAAAAAAGTTATTACTATTGGTTGTTTAAATAAATGTTCAAATTAGTTTGTTTTAGCGAATTGATTTGTTTTCTGCTGATTTTTCGTTTTACATCGAGACAAATTGACTATTACTTCTGTATCCGCATTCATTATTATAGCTTTGACTTTGGTCTTTATTAAGAATCCTAAAAGTTGGGAAATCAGCCTTTTTATACGTTTTCCGAATATTGGAAATAAATAAAATGCATGCGTTGTTTCGAAATACAAATAAATCGAATAATATCATCAATAAATATTCTATAACTTATAATTACAAGGACGCCTTAAATTATCAAATAAATAGCAAAGTCATCAATGACATAATGTGTTGTAACATTTCTTTAAATTGTTTCTATGATATAACGAGGTATAGGCTTAGCAAATGATCGGTAAGTAACTAATGTTTGCGACACAAGCGACAAATGTTATTGGATAATAATCTGACGAAAATAGTAAAATCTTCTGTAGATCGATATAGTCACGTGAATCCAACTTATCGAGAGTCATTTACTAGTATCTGTCTGGAGAGGTTGTCCGACTTACAGCTTAACGAGAGTTTATATATGTCGTCCGACTTATCGAGAAAAATTTAAATATGAAAAAAAGGAGGTGAGAGATTTCGTCCGACTTAAGCCAAATCCGACTTATCGAGTGTCCGACTTGTCGAGTGTCCGACTTATCGAGTTTCACTGTGTATCGATATTTTAATTTGAACATTAGGCAAAGGTGGGCGTGGCTATATAATCAATGACTATCTATTACTTAAACTACGGCAGTCACACGCACAATTTTACTGCGTGCTAAGTGAATTACGTTAGCTCGATATGGTTAACACTGACTACATTGTGTAACCGCTTGACTCGGCATTTATTTGTTGTACACATAGTAATAGACTTGAACATAACAGGTAACAGCTTCATTGTTTGGAAGATAAACTAATCAATGTGGAGAACCTCCGACTTGTTATTGTGCAATAATTATTTTGGAAAATGCAAGCATGCAAGCATGCAAGCATTCAATCATTCAATCATAACCATATTGATAAGTGACAATCATACAAATCCATATTAATAGTATGACATAATATATTACAGATTGTCGATTAATCACAAGATCAGATGGGTAAAAGTTAAAGAATGCCCTAACTAGTATAAGCTTTCTAAAGTACCCGCCCATTGCAAGATTATTTATCCGATCGAGATATATAAACAACGCACAAGTCATATTCGCCCAACTTATTTTCAACATAATAAGTGGTTATGACTGAAGACGTTGAATCACGAATCGACGAGGATCAAGTTATTGAACTTTCTGAAGTCAATAACATCACTTACGATGATCCACACGAATGGCCAAAAAGGAAAAAGTATTTTGTTCTTTCAGTAATATCGGTCACTGGAATGATAGCTCCTTTAACAAGCGCGTGAGTTAAGCAAAGCTCATTAGCATTTTACTAGTAATATTTACGAACTAGAATCATACATATTTAATTTATTTAGGATATTTTTTCCTGTGTTACAAGTAATAAAAGAAGCATTTCATACAACCGACATGACTGTAAATTCATTAGGTAAGGAAAAATCCCACATGTAAATACATTTCTTTTCACTTACATAAGCACTCCCCACAGTGGCGGTATTTGTCCTGACCATGGGAATCTGCGTAAGTATAAAACAAACAATTGACTATCAATACATGTCAGTGTCTTAACGAGTTTTTTGTAATAGCCACTCGGTTGGGCTGCATATTCGGACAAGCGCGGAACAAGACGCAATGTTTACCTTTTGTCATTGACAATGTTTGTTTGTGCATCGATATTATGCGCTGTGTCGCCAAACATCTGGCTACTTATTATTATGAGAGCATTGCAAGCGTGTGGATCATCGGCAGTAATGAGTGTTGGTGCCGGAACGCTAAGTGACATGTACAAAGTTGAAGGTGGAACTTGCAATAATTCTAAATTTCAATATTTCAGTTTTACGTAAAGCAAAATTTATTTGTTAACATATGAAATGTGTAAATAGAACGCGGAACCGCATACGGTTTTTTATTCTTTGGAGTATTGTTTGGTGAGTCGTACGCTTATTTGCAAGTTATCTAACGATACAAATATGTTTCAATATCTGTTTAACTGTAACTGTTCTTTTTACAGGTCCACTTCTGGGCCCACTTCTTGGGTGATTATCTACTGCAGTTATAGTTAATAGCAATTAACCGGCTGTATCCTAATTACTGACTGATGTCTTTATTATATAGTGGATATATTGATAAATTTTTTGGATGGAGGTAAACAATAGTTTCAATTGATAACCACGCGTATATACAACGTTAATAAAAAGTTTACTTTTTTTTAGGTGGATTTTGTGGTTCCTTGCCATATTTGGAACCATTTTATTCGTTCTCATATGGTTTTTACCAGAAACATACAGAGATACATGCAAGCTGGAAAAATTAAACAAACGACAAGAACGCGAAAAAAATAGTGATAGTAAAATGGAGGATAATAATAGCAAACAACCAGTGACTTGTATCATTGAACCCACTAATACTGATGAAATAGGAAAACTGAACGACCGTAATAAGGAAAGAAAAAGCCAAATTAGTGTTGATATTTCCCTTGTTATATCTACTGTATCTACAGATTCTATGGCTTCATCATCTCCAATATCACCTAGTACTACCCTTACCGTTTCACCCCCCACATCTCTTATTACCCTTGTTTCTTCAAATCCAACTTCCCCTACCACTTCCTTTAATTCAATGTTACCAATTGATGCTTCTCCTTCTTCAATTTCATCTGTGCCTCAAATTGAGAATGGTTCCAACAAGTTTATATCTTTCTTACTTCTTCCACTGTCTCCTCTTCTACTTCTCCGCTACCCAAACTTACTGTTAATTATAACAAATAATTGCACCGTTTTTGCAATGTTGTATACGCAGAGCACGCTCGTATCAGCAACATTTCAAAATCGTCATTATTTCCTTTCACCCTCTGCAACTGGGCTTGTACTTATGTCTCGCGCAGCTGGGTACATGGTTGGAGGTGTATTGGGAGGAAGATATGCAGATATAGTACTGGCAAAAGGGAAGAAGAAGAACAAAGGAGAGCTGTATGCAGAGATGAGACTAAATAGTGCGTGGTTTGGTATCATCATCTTACCATTATCGTTCACCGCCTATGGCTGGTGTGTAGAAAATGAGGTGTTTATTGTATGGCCTTTGATTTCTATGTTTTTTGGTATGTATGTAGATAATTAGTAAATACAAATTCAGAGCTGGTTTTCAAGATTATAAATTAAACTCTTACTTTTTTAGGAGGATTGGGCATTCTTTTATGTCATACCTGCACCTCAACATACTTGGTCGATGCATTTCCTGGACAGTCAGCGTCAGTAATTTCGGTGTACACGTGTATCCGATATATAGCTGCTGCTTTAATGTCTCTCCTGGCTGCTTCAATGGAAAATGCGCTTGGTGATGGATGGACGTTTACGACGCTAGCGTTTCTCAATATTATTGGAGCCAGTGCGTTGGTACTTACTTATTACAAGGGTAGAAAATGGAGAGAAGATTTAGAAAGATAGGATGAAGTTAAGGTGTAGCTAGAATAGCTGTTTTCTATGAACTGCAAGTGACATGCTCGCCCCGCATATTATTAAATGCTTTTCTTACTTAAAAATCCTTATTTTTCTGAAAGCAACTGGACTTGTAAAATAAACTCAGACGAGGAAACGATCTACTCTTGTGCTAACCAGTAAGACTGTTCTGTTCGTTTCTATAACTGTTCTTGAAATTTGACTTGGCACGCAAATTTTTCATAAAGTTCTACACTATTTTGTATAGTTTTACACGTTGAGATCTTGATACTTGACAAAATCATAACCAAAACTTGGTGAGACGTTATATGTCACAACGTTAAATTTTAAAAATAACACATTTATAGTGAAAGATCACTGTAATAAAGTTTTGGTAAGATAACATTTATGTCTTCTTTGTAAATTGAATGGTTTGCTTTACAAATAATTAAGTTTAAACATTTGTCTTTTTATTAAACTATTAAACATTCCCGAGATTACGAACTACCCCCAGTAGCACCACAAAAAAATGGCAGGTCATGCGTCTGTTATTGTGACACAACTGTATTCTGACCAACGAAAAAC